GACTGAGCTCGTGCAAGCTCCCCATTCACCGGCGAGCTCCAGAACGCGGTGTTAGTAAAACGTACGTCGTTGCAAGTAGAACGTACTGTGAAGTGCTGGCAAGAGTTCGAGGAACTCGAGGTAATGAAAAGAAACTGCGCAAGGATTTGACGAAACTAATAGTGGTCGCGGAAAGAGCCTTTCAAAATAATGTGGATTTCTTAAAAGTGTCCTTAATTCATTTGACTTCAAACATACCGAGAGACAAAAAAGACCGCAGAGGAAAATAGTCTAGGCCGCTCCATCTATGTATACATATATGTATATATAGATGGAGCAGCGGCGACATAGTAAAAAAGACGTCAGATGAACGTTTACCCGGTCGGTCGAAGGCGTTCGCCTCGCTGATTCGGAAATCTAGAATTGAGTTTTGCTGCTGTCGATCGCCTGTTAGCTGCTAAGCTTCTGCAGGTCGTTCTCCCTTTCTACGGGACCTATGTTCACTGTCAATGCGCAGTGGCAATTTAGTTCTCCCTGGCTACTGTTTTGTTAGATACAGCTCACAATATTGGCGCCACGCGATGCGCCTGTTACCGTTTCTTTACTTGCGAAACTCCTCAGCAGCGTGCGATGTTGATGGCTGCCGTAGCTGAGAGAACAGGATATTGCCGGCTAGCCGGCCGATCGCTACGCACAGGTTTGATCGACGAGCCCGAAATTCTGACGGACTTAGAAGACCGATGAAGTAAAAATCAGAAGTGCTAGACGTTAGCTTCGCTCAATCCGCGCCGATCGGATTAGTACGCACCTCGAATATACCTCGTGCGCTAATTCTACTAGCTGCTGTCGTTTTTTAGCTGCTCCGTCCATTACCTGATCATTCTACCTCTGGAAATTTTTCCCGCGGGCGAAAAAGGATCCGAACAGAATATTTGTGCTAGTAGCAGGATATCGTAGCTCGGGTGGTCTGTTCCTCGGATTAGTTAGTGTGACCCCTTCTTCCGAACGGCCTGTTCTAAAGTAAATACGAAAGTCTAGACGAACGAAGAGCATCTAAAACAAAGATCAGTTCAACTCCTTTGTCCGAAGCATTTGGAGGAGACTATCAATTATTAGTAGAAAACTACACATTCTAATAAATTTTATTTCGTTGTCTGAAGGTTGTAATCGACGAAAGCTCATAATAATAATAATATTAGTATTTATTACGTTTGATATTACGTTTACTTCACATCGTCGTGGGCTCACACTGCGCCATGCATGGTACCTTACTAGGGCAACTTTATTACACTGAAAAATGCTCTTATTTCTAGGCATTGTCAGTTAGCTCACAACATACGATTACTTGTTTGTTGACGATTTCTAATAAATTTTATATACAATTTATTTACAAAAAAATATCTATTATCACATATTTACTGCTTAGAGTGACGTTTGTTCAAGCCTAGACGTCTGGATCTCGATGTGACTGTTAACTATGCAAATGGAGACGCCAAGGTCCAAATCGATACGCCGAAAACTTTCGTATGACGCTTCGAACGCAGTGGGAAATAGCAGCATTGTGATGGGCTTTGTTTTCATAATCCCCGTATGCTACTCTATAGATACTAGGAAGCAGGCCATCAGCATCCGGTTTTCAGCGTAGAAACTGCACTCTAAATGAAATGTTATTATTATTATTATTTACCATGCTTCATTAGGTGAACTATGACAAAAATGCCCTGCGAGTGGTAAGAGTACGTTAAACCATCAGCGGCTCGCATGCTATAGTTTACTCGGGAAAGATAAAATCGGTAGAATAGTTAGAAGCACCTTATTCCGGTCAGCGCTAATTAAGGTCACTAATTGAAACAGAGATGATATAGATCTGTACGTCAGCTAAGGTCTTGTTATAACGAACCCAAAATATTTTTACACTAAAGGAAGCTATTTAAAAACCTACCAGAGAGTTATTTATCCCCATAGCCCTTTTGATGGTTTGGTTACATAAGTAATAATCTTTCAGCGATATATTTTGAAACGTCGAGCAACGATTTTTTCTAGCAAAGACTAACTTGATCTAGTAAAACGCACTATTGGACAACTGACTTAGACGCACGATTTCGCCGCTCTGCATTATTATATCTAATCGGTAAATATTATGACCTACAAACAAACTATGATGCACGATTCGCTCAGATGAGAACAGGCAAAACATAGGTGGCGCTTGTGGTGAATACTCAGTCCTGCATCGACAAAAAGGGGAAAAGCTTTGAAGAGCTGAGGGAAATATCGAGCCAAACAAGACGGTGAAGGACACGTAAGGGCGCGGGAAGGTACAAAATGCAACTTTCGCATGAAAACCAGTTGAAAGGATTGAATCTCTAAAAAATGAGCTTCGCTAGTCAGTGCAAATGACTTGAGTAAAGTTATATCTGTGTCTACGGAAGCCCCGCACGAAAAAAAGATGATATCTGGAGCAATAAGTACCGAAGCAATAAATTCGGCCGTTCATTTGTCAGCGAAGTATTGGACGACAAAATGACGGTGCCTGCCTGTTACAACAGGTTGGAGACTGACTCTACACCTAGTTGAAGGCGGGCTGTGGAAATGCTGAGAAATACTAGAGAAAAAGTACGGCTCTTTGGCTTGAGCGACACAGTTGTTATTATAGTAATTGAATTGAAGTCTGCCACGATTTTTGTCAGGTTTATAGTAACATTTCAGATTTGTGTATATATGGTTCGTGTCGTTTATCGTTAACTCTTTTCCGAAACGCCTAATATTTATCTTCTTTTCCCAGTATCTTGTCTTTTTAATGGTGTGCTCATTAAACATCCAGCTTTTATCATGCTATTAACCAAGAGTGTTCAAGAGCAGCTTTTAGTTATTTCACTAAATTCATGAAAGGTATCGATGCGATGAACGAGCGATTTGCTGAATCGCTGGCTCATCAATTTGTCACACGATAGGAACTTTTGGGAAAAAGCAGAAGCAAAAGATTGGATTGAATGGAAGAACGTGGCGTTGCATTGAAAGCATCGGGGCACGGCAGACGATCAAAGGAGCTGGAGAGACCGCGTTGAACTAGTGGCTGTAGTTACAGCTACCGCACCCATTCGCCCTTGGGACACCAAACAGGATGGCTGTTAAAGCGAGGATCAAGAAAAGTGCGGCGGGGGTTTTGCACTCGGTGCAAAATAGACCGGACGGCAGATATCGATAAAACGTAGAACACGGCTAGTAAACGGAGCGGATAGCGGAGGGAGAAAGGGTGGGCAGGGGACGCCAGTGGCGGTAGGCGACCCAGCGGTCGAACTGTCTCAGTGCCTGCAGGTGTTATATTGACAACAGGGAGAATGGGCAAACGAGTTCGAATTTGAGATTAATATCGAGAAAAACGTACGGTACGATGCTGCTGTTACGATGATAAGGTGTAGATAGGACTCTACCAGGCGACATGCACAGGATAGCTTGCAGCCTACAACAAATAATACCTTTGGACGGAAATCCACAAGCAGAATTGCCTAAATTTGGACAGACTGTTGTAATGAAATATTTGGGAAGAACCATATAGTTACAACTGTAGTACGACTATAGTAGCGCAAAGCAAATCTATGTCAAGGACGAATAAATGACGATAATAAAAGGAACAGAAAAAAAATATATGTTGTTCCTTCCTCTTACTGGCAACATGTCTGTGATAGATATCTGCACTATAGCTGGTAGGTGCCTGAATATTCTGTATAGATCCTTAGGTAAACGACAACGAAGTTCCACACTGTATTGTTTCACCATTACTCATAGAGTTTCTTAAACTAGTACGATCAAGGCTATCGCTATTGCATGTCCTGGTGCATAAATTCTAGTTGGTTTGTAGCAGATCTATTCGTTCTTCGGCGGAAAGAAGCATCGCACCGAGTATGGAACGGACGAAGGCAACACGATAGGCTGCAGATATGCCAAAACGTTTTTTCGTTGAATTAGTGATTCTTTTTAGTAAGCGAGATCACCTTATCAATAATTCGAATGTTAATATAGCACATATTATATATAATATAATAAAGGCTCGATTCGAACAATTAGATATTCAACAGAGTGGGAAAGAAGACCCGCTATGCCTATGAGAGCCGGACAAGGTCAAAAATGCTTAGCAAGCACTAGCCCAGAATGTGGCAATGCTTACATTTTTGCGTTCTCTCTTACGTCATTTTTGGTCACCCGAAAATGGAAAGGGGTGCGATGAAGAAATTTCGTTGCAATAAAATGATTTTTTTCTCAGGGTATCAGGAAAAGCCATTACGGATATACGTTTTTATGGTAGGATTGCCGTTTCCCGCTGGCCACCTCGAAAGAATCAAGCTGAAAACTCGGTGTTTTATTGAGTTATGAATCACTCTAACTGTTACATTGTTTCTACCAGTACTCGTTGTTTGATTATAACTACATTCACTTTCAAATTGCATCCAAATAGGTCGTTCTCGAATTCAGTTGGATCCTTCAGGGCTACGATATCGCCATTCAGAGGAGTGGTTACATCACTCTTGCGATTTTTTCTGGCCTAGTTATAACGTTCGGCAGGTAGACTCGGAGAGAAATACTTGACTCCGTACATAGCCAGTTGCTCAACACTGAAGTTACCGACTCCACCTGTGCTGACGGGAAATATGTAGGTAGAGATGACATTATTACCGGCTTTGTCTGTCACAACTATAGACTCCTAAGATCATACGGCGCTTAGAGCAGACACTTCCAGAAACCAGTATCGCATTGTATTCTTATTGTTTATGAACTGTTTATAACATATTATTTTTCTACTTAGGCCTCGTGTTTCGCTCAGTTCATTCTAGTTTTTCTGGAGTATTTGATCATAATCCATGCATATTGTCGTGCTGTATGACAGTGCAACCATCGCATACGCTACTCACTGAAACAAAAAGTAGAACTCTATATATATATATATATATATATATATATATATATATATATATATATATGTATATATATGTATATATATATGAACATTTACACGAAATTCGTACCTCTCCTTCTTGAGCTCGATATTGCGCTTTCGGAAGGCTTCGACCAGAAGCTGAAGATCCTCGGCATACTGCTCATGCAATTGTGACAATTGCTGCGTGAAGTCGGCCACTGGAAATCGATTTCAAGTACATAGATCAAAAGAACAAACAAAATAAAAAAACAAAAAGAGAAAAAATTATTTGCGAGAAAAAGCAGTAAACTACGATTAACTGTCGAACGTACCTAAGTACATATGGTTAATATAAGGTGTGCTTATTTATCGTGTTGTATATTTAATAAAATGCAAAAAAATAACCGAAGATTTGGAATATTGTCGTTTGACGGGCTTTTAGGGGAGAACACAAGTGCCTACACGATTCTAAAATTAATAGCAGGTTTATTTCTAAGATTTGCTCGTTTATGTTTGATTTGGGATATTTTATTTAAACGAAGAACTATAAGTTTTAGGAAGTATATTATTTATAACAAAAGAAACAACCATTTCAAATCTCTAGAAAATATTGATTTTATTATTTCCGCCTAAACACACAGATATAAAAACCAGGCGGGACTATACTAGGACTTGTAAACATCGAATTCAAGATAATTTTTTTTTTTGGATAGTTCAAAATCGACCTGAATTAACGAAATCGAAATGAAGAAAATACAAATCTGGCTTTATTAAAGGTTGTTGCAAAAACAATTTTCCCAGAGTCACATGAGCTCAATAGAAGCATGTACAGATCCAAAAAGGAGGCTGAATCTGGCAGCAAGGCCCTATAGTTTTGAAACGTTCCATTTGTGGAGTAGATTCTGCTAACTACGGGAAGTGCAAATGGTACCGATTAACCTCTATTGTTCTTTAAGTTCTTTTCTGTGCACGAGTCACTTAACTACAACATCTACTCTGTTTTTTTTTTATACACATTGTTCTGAGCAAGGCGTTGTTTTATCAGAAAACCTTTTGGTAAAAAATAAAAAGCCTGCGCGCTGCCAACTTGCAACAACGGCTCCACGTTGGCAAATTATGTACAATTTCTACGAGGCGGATACATCTGGCTTAAACAATGGCTTAACGAAGATATACGAGATAGCCGGGTACTTGCCTTTTGTGATTCATAGAAAAATGTACAATATTTTAGAAAAATCTTTACTTAGTGGCTAAATAAATTGACATAGTAATTTAAAATCTACATATGTGTACATAGATACTAATGCATGAAAGATGTCACTAATTTAATATGCAAGCATGGTTGGGTAGCATTAAGAAAATGATTAAGACTGGTACAATGCATAATGGTAACACGTAGAAACCATAAAGCTTGTTATATTGAACCAAATCACAAATTTTGCCGAATTTCCGTCCAAGTTCCATAACGGACCGTGTGCTGATCGGACTCGACCTGGACGATGCAAGGCCTTGGTAGTACCAAACAAGATAATTGCCAATGAACCCTATGACGTTTGGTACTTTTGACAATACCATGTACCAATGTGGAATCATTATTTATTACTTTTAGCCGTGCTCAAAATACACGCAAACACACACACAAATTAGTCTTTACTTCAGTGCACGAAATGTTTGCGATTATGACTTAATCAGCAGTACCTATATAGACGGCAAGCATGTTAGGGGTCAGTACTCTAGTGTAACGCTAACGCAGACACGGACGTAGAACGAAAAAGGTTACTTCTATGAGCCCAGAAATCCAGTGGTTTAAATCCCACAACATGCATGTAAATACATGTGTCGGAAGAAACATATCTCCGTTGAGGAGTCGTCAGTGCTACCGCCATAGTCATTCCCTTGTTCCTCGGACACATCTCTATAGTCGTACAACTGGGTTGTGGCTATTCGATGGAAAATAGGTACTGAGGTTCCGGAATAATTAACCTATTTTTCGAACGATGAGCCTTCATAGCGCTTACGAAGAGCGGTCATCGTCTGAGGTTGTTGCGAGAAAGCTACTCTGGCGACAGCAGTTCTATATAGCACCGTAACGTATGTATACGTGTATGAAACAACGAGAAACACAATTGCACCATTCATTCGAGCTTGCTGTCGCTTATTGACCACTCGTATTGAACAGCTCTAGCTGCCAACTTTAGTTCCAATTTGAGCAAGTTGTTTATGTGAAACATTGAGCTTGCCAACCTGCTAGCAGCTTCTGCCTAGTGACTATGCGTCCATGTATGTATGTGAATGAAACTTCACTAGGCATACCACAATAGAGTGTGATAGCAGTCATGCAGTCTCTCTAACAATTCCTAGCCTGCCCCGACTTATACAAGTCACGATGCAACGGTAGAGTGCCAAGAAGAAGCATCTTAGAAATAGCGAGGATGCCAGTAATGTGAACAGCGAACGAAGGTGAAGCTTGAGAGATAGAAGGACCTGACCATGAAGGCCAGTTGTTTTTGTGGCAATGGTAGTAGCAGCAGTCGGTGAATGAGAGGGGGGCTGGCACTAAGCAAGGGTAGGCATTTGTTTTGTTCCTTTGACCTTGGCTGCGGGCTCAGAGGTTGCCCTACGAAACTGAGCTGGGCTGGCTTAGATACGGCTAAATAGGGGCCGGTCTCAGCTGCATTCTAGACGAAAAAAGTCGTTGGTAGTCACTATCAATTACAACTTTCTCCACTCTTCGCAATTACGTACTAGGTCTTAAGGTGGTACTAGGCGAGCTTCTTAACTTGTCCCCGGTGCTAGTGCCGTTAGCGTTGTTGTTCTCGTCAACGCTTGCCACTGCCGCCTTGTTCGACCGATGCGATGCTAGTCCGAGACGGCAATGCAACTTAGATGGAACCCCATTTCACGTGTCGTGGCTGCGTACGTACACATACACAGGATACCTCCTGGATGGGCTACTAAGACAACACGATCAAGAACTAAGACTTGCGTCGGCCTAATGCGAAAGGGTAAAGCTTTTTAAAAAAAAAATAATAATGCACGCGATCGCACAGGTGATATTGCTAAGTAGAAAGCATCGCTTATTCGTTACCGCAACACAGGTCCATAGCAATGTAATAATAGGTTGCGTCCATATGTGAGTAGACCGTGGGAAATTAGCCTCTTTCATTCTACATTCATTTCCTGCTGGAATACGTACGAAGGTTTCGTATGTTTTAGCACGCATGCGCACGTAAACGTCCGAATTTCGTTGCACCTTTTTTTTGCATCTAGCTATTTATATTAGTTCAATAATACACGCAGCACAGGTGGGCCCCACCATCAGCCAATTCAGTCGAACCTTATGAACGGCGTTGCCTATGGCGTACTTATTTTTCCTGGCTAGACGAATGTGGTGAAGTGCCCCCTATATTAGGATCCGGAACGAGCGTCAAATCAGAACCTTCGCAGAATCTATATTAATATGTATAGATGGCTTTTCGTTCGTCCACGGATCCAGAGTTGTGCCTGTATTGATTAAGTACAGCACATCTTCACACGCTGGAATCAGCTCAAGATCGATTCGTACCGTACTTCGTTCACAATAAGCTATTACACAACATACCATGCCGTGTGTACGTAAACTCATGTCAATGAATACTTCCTTGAGTGCATGTGTCATATAGCCGTTCAATCGTTTACTCATACGAAATGCTATATGGATAATATAGATTAAAAGTAGACTACAGTCTGTTTGCCTAATATATTCTAGTTTTCATCGTTAAGTCTGCTCAGGGCAGAAGTGACCAACGCGTCGATTTGCTGGTGCACATCTTTCACTACGTCCGCAATATCAGAACTTTTCCTTGTTTGCTGGTTCCTTAGTCGAAACCAGAGTGTCACACATATATCCCATGTTCTAAAGAAGCAGCAGGTGCTTCGAACATCATTTCCTGTCTGAATAACGCTGCCTTCAGTGTGGCTATAGACAAGGTGCGCGACTAAGACACGCCATCTGTTTACATTCTAAAACACTCCGAGTTGTTTCAACTGGATCGGCAGGCTGTACTAAATGATACATTCACAGAACGCCTTCTGCGCCCGTGCCAATCTGCGCTCCCCCTTAAAACACTGATGGAACGAAAGATGATGTACACAGAACAAGAACTCTGTTTGTCTACCAAGAAAAGGGACCGACAGGTACCGCGGGCTAGGGACGGTCAGACAGGCGATCAAATCAACTAGAGAGCAAGTTCAAGAAGATTAAAAAAAAAAATGTATGCTAATGCAGTTTTTCACGAGACGTTGCTATCGTCATCGTCGTAGGGAAAGGCAGTGTGTAAGGTGTGCGCTATTGACGTCGTTCGGTACCGGAACGGAAAATAGCGCATTAATTTAATTCCAGAATATTTATTTAAATTGTTCTCCGTCTCTTCTTATATCTGCTTAATCTATATTTGGCTCCCAAATTTCGATACGGTTTTCTCGAACCAGCTATGCATACGAACTATACAATGTACTATAGTGTGGATCTGCGCATGTCAGCAAGTTCGACAGGCAGCTACAGGACAAGGCACCCTCCAGCTTGTACCAGCCGTAACCAAGTGGCTGGCACGTACGGTAAAAACCAGTAGCTGCATTACGATCTCTACGGCAGGACTCAGCTTTGATAACATCTTTAAGCGTTGCTTTTCGTTCGTCTACGGATCCAGAGTGTCCACGATTGCGCCTATATTGATTAAGTATGGGCTCACTTCACCTTCATAACCTCACACTGGTAAATTTTAGTAGAAAAGCAGGTTAATGTAAAATGAAGAAGTTTCTTCTGTGTTGTTTGAATATGGGTGCTATGTTTGGTAGCGTTTCGTCCATCCATCCCATACATCCATGGTAATGGACGACAATGCCCTAGAGAGTCATCAAAACGTCAGTAAAGGCTAAACGTTCTCATGGACAGTCTGCTCTTTACAGGAAAGGATTTGAACGCCACACCATCTACGGTATCTATATATAGATAAAGGCAAAATGAGATGACGCACAGGTTAGCAAAGAAGCTAAAGCATGTAAGGTAAAAAAAGAGTCTCGGTTCTGTTCGTTTTGCGCTAAAAGCAAACTCAAGCTCACATTAAAGCTCCAAGCCTTCCGACGCACGTCGAGAATGATGGCGCCGGCGGCACGGATCGGCGGTCCAGAACGTATCTATCTAGTCGTCATAGCAGATGTATGATAACCTTCTATATAT